GGATCTCTGTGAGTTCGAGGCCAGCCTGGGCTACCAAGTGAGTCCCAGGAAAAGGCGCAAAGCTACACAGAGAAACCCTGTCTCGAAATAAAATTAAAAAAAAAAAAAAAAGAAAAAGAAAGTGGTAGACTTTATGTTACATGTGTCATATGGGCCTAAAAACATTTTTAACACGTTCAGTAGCTTTTCTAGCCAACTCCTAGGTGACGCCGCTGGTGCTGGCTCTAAGGTCATATATTCTGAGAAGCAGGCCAGTAACGAACCTCCACCGCCAGAGTCAGAAAGAGCTTCAGAGTGAAGGTGATCTCTGTGGCCGGGCTCTGGAATCTCCATAGCAACACATGCCCCACATCTAGATCAAAAACCAATCCCACTCACCCGCATTTCATGCCTTGCTGCTGGGTGCCAGCGCTTTGCATCAAAGCAGGGCCGTTTCTCTGTTTAGGCAAATGGAATGCTATTTGGAGGGCTTTTGCACTCACCTGTTTCAGTCAATTTTATCTTAGGTTAATCTCCCTACCAGTGCTTCCCAGACCGATTTAGTGCTTCCCTGCTCTGTGGATGGCTAGGATTCCAGCTAACGATAGGCCCTCCTGGACCTCAGTCAGGAGCTTTGCTTCACTCATTGGATAGTGTTTCCCTTGGGGGTGGGTAGTTCCTATGTTAATCTCCTCTGTGTTTGCCTTATTATTATTATTATTATTATTATTATTATTATTATTATTATTTTTAAGACAGGGTCTCACTATATAGCCTTGGCTGTCCTGGAATTCTGTATGTATCAATACTGACCTCAAGCTGATAGAGATCTGCTTGCTTCTTCCTCCAGACTGCTGGGTTTGCCATCTTTAAGGACAGGGCATATTGGAAACTGTTGAGCTGCTGTGTTGGAACACTAGGCTCCTTTGTTTGGTGTCATTGCTACCTATCAGCAAGTGCAAGCAGCTGGGAGGCCTGTGGGAGCCCGTTCTCGGGTTCCTCGTGGCTTTACCCAGCAGGTCCGCATAGAGGATGATCAGGACCACGGGCCTGAGTGCAGGTGTCTGAGTTGGTCTGCACTTGGCTGTGCTGGGGGAGGAGGTCTTTTGCTCCACCCCCTTGGCGTCTCTATAAAAATCCTGGGGCAGAGACAGTCAGGGCCCGTTGGAATGGGTTCTAGGTCCTCTCGAGGTTATCCTATACTTTCTGTTTATC